CTCTTTCTCCCTGTACCGAACTTACTACTGTTGTGAATAGCACTATCACCTCGATCTAAAGATTCTTCAGTGTAGGCAAAAATCTATTTGCATCTTGGATAATTTTGTTGTACAGTAACAATGAACTTTTTTCAAAACACTGTTTCTCGTGTAGAAATTATTCGCTGAAAAGAAAGCATGTGATTTGACGAATTAATAAAGTAACGAAAGTATTCAATTAAAAAAAAAAATTTTTACCAGCCGTTACCTGTCATTCTTATAAGTCGATAATGACTTGCAGTATTTCTACGTAAATGAAAAATTAGCGTCTTTCACTTTGTGCCAATAAATTTTGGTCGTACTTGAAACTATAACGGTGTACGTTTATTCGTCCATTTCATTGAATATCCACGTTTATTTCTCGCGCAGGTATACAGTCCCGAAAGAAAGTCCAGAAATATTAATTCCGTATTACGAGCCAAGTCCAGAAGTATGTATATTGTGTTTTTTGGTTAATAGGAAGAGTCAAGTACCCCAGCATAATGCGTTGCACGCGAACAGAATAATCTTGTGCTACATAACTATAAAATATAACCCGTTTTAAACAAGTTTAACTGTTCGGTAAAACGGAGTATAATGACGAATCGAGAAATGTACAGTTTCAATGATATAATCAAATATTCAGTTAATCAAGTCATTGGCCTTGAACTCATGATCAAAGTAATGATATTTGATTCTTATTATTATCGTCTAATAAAATGGGTATTTTATCGAAATTCCAAATTTCGTAATTTATCAATGGAGAAATAATTAATTAAAATAAATAGCCATGGCCATGACGTATCACGGATGTATAAACTGTTTCATAAATCGTAATCGAAGGATCTATCAAAATCTATGAAGAATAGTCATGCTCGAATGGTGGTCGTGGAATATACGACAACGTCACGCTCGACTGGACCATCTCTCTGAGATGATCTAAAGAAGATCCTATTGAGCTTAGACAGACTGTGAGAGGGTGGGAGGGAGGACTGGAATTAATCTGAATAGCCATTCACGTTGAGATTACGTGAATGGTTGAATATGTATTTGATAAAAAAAAAAAAAAAAGAAAAATAGATCAGAGGCTTGTTCAAGATTAATAATAAAAAGAAATATAATTGAATTTGCCGTTTCTCTAAAATTTAAAAATGATAAAAATAAATCATCAAGTTCAGTGCACGATGATTGAGCTTTCACTATGAACCAACGCGTGCCCAGCATCCGTTTGATCAAATGGACCACTCGTAACTTTTTAAATAAAAAAATCACAAATTCCAAAATAATGTCGATTCATATACCCGTGATACAATAATTAATAAATAACTTAAAAAATGGCCGCTCCACCAAAAACGTTCCTACACTTCGTACCCGGCGGTCGGTGAAATCGATTTTCGTGAGAATAATATTCTCCTATACAACGCCATTGACATGGACCAGCCTGAAATCATCAGACAGTAGAAAGTAACCGAAAGAGAAGGTACCACGTCTATAATCCAAATGAATTCTCTCAGTCTTCTTCTTGCGTGCGAAATGCCTTTCTCATTTTTTTTCACGAAAAAGAAAAAGAAAAAAAATCGTAACGTACAGTAAACTTGAATTAACGAGATATATAAGAATTATACAAAGCATGGAATTTTAGGAATCCTATAGTCACAATGGCAATAACATTAACCCCTGGTTATCACGATAACCCTTGTTCGAGATTATAACCCGCCTAAGTAATAAGTACCTCGATTTTCCACTATGCTAATTTTATCCAGACATCAACTGCTATTACTTTAGCCAGTTTGCATGCTCCTCGTCGAATCAGATATGACAGGTGGAATTTAGTATTATACAATGAAGATGACGAAGGGACATGGCGGCACGTATTACAGATAAATATCAATAGAATCTCTCTCACTGAACAGTTTATAACGGTTTGACTATGATAAGATTTCGTGACTATTATATATGTATATACGTATACGTACCTCGGATATAATATTGAGCGCGTAGCTACCACATGGTACCACGACATTGCTATTTAAACCGAGGAGGACAAGGGTTGCCAAATAAATGGATGTTGCAAATGACTTTGGCGAACGGGATTATTATAATGGCGGATATACAATACCAGTTTCAAAGAGTTTAGGCTTTTCCGAGGAGCCATTTAATAAATTGCACATTTACTTCAAGTTTTATTTGCGAAAATCCTAAGAGCTACTGACACCACTTTGCAAATTTTCACATATATGTATATATATATATATATATATATATATATATTTACAGAAACCCTGGCCTTCCCTGGCTGCCAGGTCTATCAATTCTCACTAACCAACACACGAACAATTCCGATACTGAAAATCCCTGAAAGATTCGAACCGTTCAGGAGTTTATGATCGTTTCGCGTTAAATAGAACGAAACTGTATCGCGGTTGGATTTATCTCTCTCCTTGAGGATGCTGGAAAAAGCTCATCTTGACTCCACAGCAAACGGTCTATTATCTGGATAGTTGGTCAATGATGCAGCAAAATGTGTTCTTTGCTTGATGATATATAAAACTGGAGGAAAATTCTCGGGACGATAAATATGAGATTTTCTCGAATGGACCAATGGGATGCTGGGTTATCGTGTAACGAGATTCGGTGTATTTTCATCTTGATTACGATTAAAATTAATTTCTTAATTTTTTTTTCATGACTATAGACATCGATTTAATTGCATTGTCTCGTAGCCGCCATTGTCATTAATGTCTTGCAGTATTTTACCTGAAAGCCACGAATAACATGAATAAATACTGGAGTCTTGATGCAAACCCATCAATTCGTATAGCCATTTAACAGAGCACCGTATCCGCTACCTACCTAAGGACAATCCGGCTAAATTACCAGCTAGAATTCAACCGAACAAGAAAATAACCTCGACTCTCGGATCGTGGCTTCCAGAGATTATCAACTTCTTATCGATGACTTCTTATTTCAGTTTTGATGTATTATAGACACGTTAACTTATTTGCTCTTTGTTTTTCGAGTCCTAGTTCGTCCCTAGCAAAAATCTATACTGACCCTATTAACGATATATTTATACTCATACATATACGTATATATGTATTCTATTCTTAGCTCAAAGTAGGTCTTTGGGTAAGTCAAAAAAAATTGTCTACATATCTGGAATATTGTAACAGTATCTGCATCGATTGAATAACGAGACATGTAAATACGTGTGTATGGTAAAAGGACATGTGCCGTGTGCGTAACTTTACTTTCGACCTAAGTTACAGCGTACAGAAGAGATTCTAAGGAAAGAGAATAATAATTCACCGAAGTAACGTGCGCCAGTGTAATAAGCGAGAGTGCAATCAAATTCTCGAGCAGTTACATTAGTACGACGAAGAGAGAGATAACGTGCAGATTGGAGAGTGAAAAAGAAAAGAGACAGTGAAATCAATATTTTCATCTTTAAGGCGAAACACAAATATTTGAATATTCTCAACCGTTACCGAGCAGCTAAACCACAGTGATAACTGTATTAATTTTTATTTTTGTCCAATTTCAAAAATTCTACGAACTCGTGCAAAATTTTCGTATTCACCAGCGTCTGTCCTTCACACTTAATTGCGCGATATGGATAAAGCCAAACCCTTTCGGTATAAAGCTGATATGCCAATCGCTATTGGCAACATATCGCTGCGATATATATATGTATATATATATATACATTCCAGCAAGTGCCCTTTCCAAGAGAATGTTCTAAACCAAATAGATATTCGCCTTAAGCGATACAACATTGTTTATGTACATAAACCGAACCAGGTGCCAGTTGTATTTTTTTTTTTTTTTTTTCCCTTCGTATCTATTTAATTGCTCGTAACGCGTGACTTTACGGATCTGTATAATCAAAGTAGCTTGGGCTATGACAGGTAAAAGCGTTATCTATAATATATACATTTATCAGTGACACGATTGTATTTTTCTCGTTATTACTTGGATAGTCAAAAATTACTTGTACCGGTATGCAGGCTGAAATTTTTTGTTATTTCTTGCATGGTTCTTTCAGCCAATTAGCAATCTTGAGTAATATACCTAACGGCTACTCATTTTCAATACTTTATCCTCGTCTAGGGAATTTTACCCTGTGAAAGCAAATGTTTTTTTTCTTTTTTTTTTTTCGTAACACCGCTGATGTTTAGTCAGATAAAGTAATGCAAAACCAAGTGTTCGTCCATCGCGTTCCGGTCTTTCGTACATACTAATTACTTATACAGCCAAGAGCAAACACAATGGATAACAGTCTAGTTATAATGGGCGAAGCCTCCAGTGATCATATGGATAACCTCGATTAATTAACTTTCTTAACGCGTGGGAAGAGGGTTTGGTCATTTTTTTTTTTTCAACGGAAGTAGTATTAATACGCCGTTTGGTAAATTTGTCAATTAAAAAAAAAAATGATGACAGCAGGTTAATATTGACATACGATAACCAGTTTTAATATACACGTTCAACTTTTTGCAGTCTCATGCGCGCGATCGCTTACATTGATTTCTGCTGTGCAGAACAGCATATCGGTATATGTAACACACATGGTATCAACCCGCTACAGATTTTACCTATAGGATCGATTTAATTCGGTCGAAATGTAAAATTCGATCGAATGAACGTAACACATGTTAAACTTCAGGGTGAACTTTTCGAATACCTCCAATTTCAAAATAGGTCGTCCGATTTCAAATTCGAATCGCATTTTGACGGCTCGTCCGCGGAATGGGCGATTATCGTGGATCGTTGCTCAGGTATTCGTATCAGCCTCATAACCTCAATTCCGAATATTTGCATTACTACGTATCAAGATCTCATAACCCATGACCTTTGACACGATGCAACTTTTCGCGCTGAATTAGCATCGCCCGATATCATCATTAGTAGCCAATAAAAGAAAAATCAATGCCATCGACAATAACAAAAATAAATCTTAATAAAATTAATATCAAACTCACCAAATCACAGACTGATTATAATTTTTGAGTTTTACCCAAAAAATTTCACCACACGGCACTGTACTCACAGACATATATATATGCATATATATACGTCCAGTTATAAAATAGTCACTGTATACATTTTTTGGCAAAAATAACTTTATAAATGATCTCTACAAATTCACTCGTATCGATGGGCAATAACGAGCACGCTGCTCCAGGCCGGCTGCACCAGGTAGCCAGCAGTACGAAAGACGCTCAGGCTTCAAGGGTTTTACCTTTCGTCTCCAGAGTCCCGAGTTGAACGCACTCGGAAAGCAGCGGCAGCCTACCAAGCTGACGACTGGCCATATACTGGAGTGAACACTTACCTGTGCACACCTGGCCAGCGTGGAGCTACAACCTGCAGGAGTTACAGAGTGTTCCTTCCGGGTCACGAAAGGGAACTCGTAGAGGTTAAAACGAAAGTGGACGCAATTACGAGGCTCGTTTATAATTGCTCGTTCATTACGATGACGTCGCTCCGACGCTTAGCTAATAGACGTTGCGACGGTGAAATTGATCAAAGAACGTCAGACTTCTGGCCGAGAGTCATAACTCGGTCCGAGCGACTTCAGCCGTCGTTCGTTGGAAAGTGACCTGTCCGAGGTTGTGCGGTTGCTATACGTCTCAATAAAGATACGAGGAGTTCCCACCTCTACGTTTACATGCGAGAGAGCATTGATTGATATGTTTTGAAAATATTTTAACGTGCAATAATTCTTAGTGATTTAAAACAGTCGCGTCATTTTTCGAATAATTCCTTAACTTGGTTTTGGAAAATTTTTTTTTTGCCTATATGAACTCCTTGTTACTTTTTAATCTAGTGACTTCGTGGCCGGCTTTGGGTCTGTCTAGTGTTTCAGATTGTGGTGCTAAGGGATTTTGCAATTGTTTCCGAAAGGGTCCACTTATTATTTGCATTATGTAAACGTCGAACGGTGATGCTCGGCAGGACTTTGATGAGAACCATGGCTAACGCATGACGAAACGAAGGGAGGGAAATGAGTTTGAACGTGCAATTGCGGTTTCTGCTGTTGGAATTAAACCTATCTCGAGGGAGTTGCGTAGACATGTATAAAATGAGAAACAAAGAGAAAGGTGCCTCGGCACTGTGGTGCATCATTATTTTGGCAGGATCAGTGATCCTGAATTCGTTAAAGCGCGTAGCCCGTTTGGTCGTTATATAAAACTTAACGGTTCCTTCTTCTTCGTCTTCTCCACGTGCTGCTGCACTCGGGTGCATTCCCGAGTGCAGCGCTGCACTCGTAAGACGGAAGAAAAAAAGCCTGCTCACGCTACTCGAAGACACGTGGGTTTGTTGACACGTGCTAAAGTCATGTGGAAATAAGAAATTTTTTGACACTTCGTGAAAATCTCACCGAAAATCAATCGCGAATCGATGCGTGACGAGGATATTGCGTAATGCAAAGTATTAATAATTTATTCAGCCACCAAGATCTGCTCGAGATTTAAATTAAATCGGTTTGCATGTCACCTGGACCGGCTGTCTATATTACGTTCTAATCACTGATCCGCGAAGGAGTTATCAATATTTTTATAATTTCGTATTTTTCAAACCGAGTTATCAATCCTGTCAGAGTTCGGGTCTTAACGCCGACTTATTTCACCGTCTAAATTCGCACTGGCACGAGACCCTTGGAATTGCAAATGCGAATATGAAACTTGTTTACTTTCGCGAACTTTAAATTTAATTTGTCACTTCGTGACTGTACGACGTCTTTATATACCTATACGCGATTCGTTTAAAAGGATGCACTTTTTTTTTTTTTCATCAAGTCCCCACAGAGAGAAGCTTCCCACGCGCCATTGTCGAGTCTGCGGAATTTCAGTGTGCTGAGAACGAGGATCCTTGGCATCGAAGTAAGCGATGCCTTTGGAGGAAATAAGAAAAGGAATCAAAAGATTGATGTAACTTTCGCAAAAATACGGACGTGCATCGTTTATTTGCCCCGCTGTAAATTCTGCAAATTCACTCGATCCGAAAAAACCAAATGAGTTTTTCGTTCTCGCGACTTGGAACACATTGACTTCCGATCTGGTTAGAAATAGCGAAGAGTGTCGGTCGTGATGAGATTGTCAACCCGTTGAAATTTAACCCACTCTGGTCCAACTTATCGGCAGCGAATCGTGTCGATGCATATATACAGAAAATTGTGTCGAAGTGAAAAAGAAGAAATTGCTCTTGATGCAAATTCACAATCCATTCTACTTTAGTTCGTCAAGTCGAATAAGAATTGCGAATGCTCGCTGTGAAAATGAGGTTGAAGAAAGGCCAATGCTCGGAACATCGAAGCAAAAACGTCCGTGCAATGTTTCTACTTATGTTTCAACGGCTGAAATTCCAACGTGCAATTGCTAATTACGATTAGTGTAAACATTGTGGGGGTTATAGTTATTGCGACTTGCAAAAGGGGCAATTACTTTGTAGCTCGCCTTGGGGCTTCGCAGTTATCGTCGGCGGTACAGGCCTATACGTGGGTATCTACTGTTTGGTTGGTTTAATGCGCAATTGCAGTTTTACGAGGGAATTAAGTGGCATGCGTACTGCAGCCAGTGTTTTTTCCGTATTTCGTTGGTAAATGCTGTCCGTTTGTTAAATTTGAAGAAAGGCTCATTTTATTATAACTTTGGAAGTAACGAGAACGAAAAGTCATTGTGAAAATTCTAACTTGCTATTATATGGGTGATAATCGTATACTCTATTTTTATTGGATTCCTGATATATGTAATTTCAATTGTACGAAAGCAATTGGTATAAGAGTAAATTTACAACAATTCCAAACTTTACGTTATTATTTTTAAGTATGACTTTGTCTTACGAGCGAAATCCTTGGCCAGATTTATGGAACTTTCATAGACATTAACTATGTTTAACTGCTACCCTTGTCGATGTTGGGAATCATAGAAAAATTCGTACTTAATTAAATTTTTAATTGGAATCATCGACATTCCTCGGGTAAATATCGACTGAAGGCAAATCAGTACGTCCTTTAATTTATTCTTGATTTACATACAAGTGGTATTCCCTGAAGGTAAATCGACAAGTATGGTACACTAACTAAATACCCAACTAGCTAAATAACTGACATAAAATTTGTTGAATCAACACACTGGATACACTGAGAAGCATTCGGATAGAACATTTGTGTATTCTATAATGAATCAAAAGGAATGAATTTTTCTTGACACTAAAACCGTCTACTGCCCATTTGATATTCATTTCTGCTGTCGAACAACTCTACTTTACCGACACATGGTATTATGATTGGGATTCCGTGATCGATAACATAATGCCACTGTCAGCCGAAGATAAGAAGCCACTTTCGTGAGATCCCACCTCTCCACGAAGGAGCTACGACACGTATTATTAGAACATAATATCCAAGCGGCATTCAATAGTCCTTCAATATTACAGAATCGTTAAGTAGGGAAGAAAAGCTGTATACAGAGATCAGTAGGGAGATGCACAACGCTACGGTTTTAGGCGATACCAAAAACATGGCGCTAAATCGTAGTGGCGAGTCCGGGAATAGAATTTTGTCATCATCGCCTCCGTTGATAATGCATATCCCGTCGTAGCCGAACTGAACGTGATCACGAACGGGTAGCCTGGCGGGCAGAGATTCTCCACAACTTACAACTGATTCCCAGAGCAACCCTTAGAGAGAGGCCGCTTATCAGATATTGCCTAAATATTTTTTCTTTGTAATCTTAAATTCAATTGTACAGTGTAAGCTCGATAAGATTTACTAAGCCAAAAGCCAGCACCGTATGCCTGCCTGCGTTAAGGAGTGCAGCGATGCGGTGCTAGCTTCCATCATTATTTAACGATAGTTCCAAGCGGACCTATGGTCCCAACATTGAGTACTAGAGAGAACTATTTCGGAACTGTTTGAAGCACAATCTGAAAACAACACTGAAAGCCAGCTACTTATGCATACCTGCACTAAAGCATATGGTGCGACTAGTATCCTTAATAGGTATTTTACCGATGTTACGTACCAGAACTATTGTTAAAACCTACCAGGAACTATAAAACTCCTCGAGAACTATTGAAAAAGCCTATTGTTGAAATATTTTTAAGAGATTTTAAAAAAGTGCGGTGCTGGAGCTGACATCCGTGTAGCATCTCAATTTTGAACAATGTTTCAACAATAAGCTTTTTTAAGAGTTCTAGGAGAGTTCTATAGTTCCTGATAGGTTTTAACAATAGTTCTACTACGCAATACCGTTAAAATACGTAGTTTCCAAAAATTGAGGTGGTAGTCGTGGTCGATTTTTATTAAGGTATTACTACGGTAAACTCAAAATCGCGTAATCGAGCTGAAATTTGTTTTACGTCTAATTTTTATCCCAGTACATCTCTCTACAAATTTTTAACGCGATTCACTCATCCATTTCCGAATAGTTCCGAGTTAAAGTCAGGACTCGTGATACGTATTCCCTATACCTGGCCAATAAAACGCGCATGGTTCTTTTATTGCATTTGACTCGTCAGCGTAATTCCGATGAAAAACTAGTATGTGGCAAAGGAAAAAGTTAAGAATTTTTTAGATTTTTAGTCAGAACTTTTTACTTATAGGATTTATTGATAGACATGAAAGAAGTCGATGTTTATGACGAAATCACTCGTACGACGGCTGACAAGAGAGCGTCGGTGTATATACGTATACACTGCTACATCCACTGTGAGACCGTGCCCGATGCATATACCTTTTCGGTCCGTAGTAATACCTTAACTAAAGTACCATCAGGGCCACTGGGACGTTATGAGCTATGAGCTATGAGCTTATAGCAGTCTCCTGAGCTCATCCCTACCCTTATCTGTCTTTTCCTTATCAATTATTATTCTTTTTCAAAAAAGTTATAGGTAGTATAGTTATAAGTTAAAGGTAGTATAGTTACAGGTAGCAGAAGAAGTGTATTAATTCGTATGTGTGCGAGAGAGACGCACTTAGAGCCCTGCTGTGCTAATGAAACGTAGGCTTTAGGAGCATTACAGGGTGCGTCAACGATATCCTGAAATGCGAAGAATTGCCGCGCACCGATCAGCCTGCATCGTCACTCCAAAGCATCGTTGACAAACCCCGTACGAATTGTTGTTGACAAACCTGTCGTAGGAGGGCATCACTTATGCCAAGGTGTGCTGGAGCGGGGAGGGGGTACTCTGCGGTATACAAAGAATGTATCATTGGTGCAGAGGTCAGTCTTTCGAGAGCCGTTCTCTTAGAAGCCGCGTTTTGCCGGTCTTCCTTCCCCCTTCCCCTCACCCCGCAAACACCTTATCGCCGTACGAATTGTTGTTGACAAACCTGTCGTAGGAGGGCATCACTTATGCCAAGGTGTGCTGGAGCGGGGAGGGGGTACTCTGCGGTATACAAAGAATGTATCATTGGTGCAGAGGTCAGTCTTTCGAGAGCCGTTCTCTTGGAAGCCGCGTTTCGCCGGTCTTCCTTCCCCCTTCCCCTCACCCCGCAAACACCTTATCACACTTGTGATACATTCATCGATTCTTTGTCTCTTTTGTTCATCTACATTCTAAGGTAATACTTGATTATCTAATTCTATCTCTATCTCTCTCTCTCTCTCTCTTTCTTTGTGTCACCTATTTTCCCAATTTCTTCCGCTGGGCTATACCTTCTTCGCGATATCACTTTGGTATCGCAGTAAACTCCGCAGCAAATATGCCAAGACGGTTTGAGCGGTGGGGAGTCATGGGTTGGCGTCGGCATCCCTTTCTGCGCTCTCTAGGGGAGCGGTCACGTCAATCTGCGTTCGCTTGTGCTACTCCACTTGGCGTATGGGACCTCAAATCCCGGTAACTTCTAATCACCCTCTGCAGGAAACACTTTGCGCGCTGATCTAGGGTTAACGTGGTTCGTCTTCGGAGATCGAACGTGGTTCCTTACGTCTAACCTGCCCTAGCTTCGGCTTTGCGGCGGGCAGTGACGAAGGTTGAAGCGTAAATTCAAGTCCCCTCGGGGACTTCCGGCCTCGGCCGGTGCTGATGCCCAGTGATTCGTTGCGGTCGACTCCGCTAGGGGTGATCGCGAATTTTCATAGCCTGGCTCCTTTTCCCGTGTTCCGGTTCTGCGACACAAGCGACTGCTTAGTCCAGGCCATTCACATATGCTCATGTTGTTCAAAGTCTTGTACTCATGTTTGTCAATGCTTTGTGTCCGCGACCAAAGTCTGTCGAAGGTCGGAAGCCGCTTCGCGGCCCTTTAAGCTCTTGCGTCACAGCAGTCCGCTGTTACTTCGGTATCTGTTAGCCGGACCTCCGTTGTCCGTGGGGGTTGGGCCCGATAGCGTGTATTTCGCACCCTAGCCTGCTTAATCCGGTCCATCGCGCTTGTCCACGGTCAAGTGTCATGTCTGTAACAACCATTCCCTATCAGTATCATCAAAATCATCTCTTTTAATCTCTTCGAGCCTTCAGCCCATTTCGTGCCATCTCTTTCTACACTCTTTATCCTTTACCTTCATTTACGAAAAAAAGTGTGACGTAGTGAATTGATACGTTTGAATAAGTGCGTCGCGAAGACATTATCTAAAGTTCGCGGAAATTCGCGTATTGGTCTATTCGTAACAAGTGAAGAATTAGTCCGCAACCGAAAATACAGGAAGTGCAAAATAGTGGCCAAGGCTGGAATCGTCAAGTCGTCCCTAAAGTGGACCTCGAGTATCGAAAGATGTACTGGACCAATGAACAATACAAATGGACAAGAGATAAGCAGACGAGAATCCTGGGGTAAGTGATCTTTTTCTTTTTTCCTTTTTTTTTCCAACTCACCATAAACATTTATGTAAGCGGCCATGCTGAAAGCCATAAATTTGCTATACTCAGCGGATACCGGAAGTATAGCATAGATCTGACTTATATTTGTGCGAGATTTTGGTGATGCATTCCGAAAGTGTTCCCATGCTGCGCGGTAGTGTCTGACTATATTTTCAGCTAAGTTTTGCTTTGGAAACCAGCGATAAGTAGCGGAGGACTCTGCCTGGCAAGCTACACGTTCGTGATCGCGGTTAGTTCAGCCACGACGGCATCCGCATTATCGACGAAGACTATGATCACGTAACTCTACTTCCGGACTCGCCGCTAGGATTCAGCGCCATGCTTTTGGTATCGCCTAAAACCGTAGCGTTGTGCATCTCCCTACTAATCTCTCTGTACCAATGCCTTAATCAAGTAAAAGTACATTCGTAAAGATGTATATACGTACAGAAAGTATGCGCGGATTGGAAAAGGTGTTGAGTAATGAGTAATTATACATTTGCAATCTTCATATCACAATGCAAATCGCAAGCTTTCATTGTTAAGCAATTTTTCGATGTACTAACAGTCAACTGCAAATAAATTCATTGCAATTCATTTGATTAGCTATCTTAGCAAGTAATATGCTTATTAATGAATAACTATTGGTTTGGAGTAAATTAAATAGTAGACGACTAAATCCAGCAATGAAACTATATACTTTATATTACTAATTGCAATTCGTACGACTTAAACAGAATAACTCATCTATCTACTAAATACATACGCGTCAATCGTATAGCTAATCATGGCATGTTTAAAAGAAAATGTTATACTCGATACAGAAAATTGAACGAGTTCAGTTAAAAGGTTTTGCGCATGTTTTTTAAAATAAAGTTAAGGGCATAAGACATTTTTAAAAGTTTTGTACGCTTGGTAAGACTGGTTGCATGTGAGCGAACGCTCGGATATTTTGACTGCTTCGGGAAGCTTCGGCACTGTGTTAGCCAATGAAATCCGTGCAAAATGCCCGATCGGTGCAGTTGATAAATGGAGGATCTGTGTTTGTCAAGGTAGTTTTGTTTACGCGAAAATTTTCACTCGGAATCAACTCCCCGTACGTTTCGTGTGTGTTAAGAGGTAGATGAAGGTGCGTAATTGTTTTGCCTGACTACTGGTTAAATTTGACAATCTCTGAATACCGACAACCTGTGAAATCCGCAGATAGCGGACGCCTGTCGTCCAGGGTGCACGAACCTCATCGAAAAGAAATGATTCTTCTCACTGAAAAAAGTGAAACGGCTTTAAAAAATCACGTTCAGTGAAGGGGCAAATGATTTTCTTTCTCTATTTTACGTAAATGATGAAAGGAGCAGTTACTTTCCTTATAGCCTTTTAAAAAATGTATAATCCAAATTCGTTGCTCATAGGTTAGGGCTACTGCATTTGTATGGGGTGTCTAGGCAGAATCATGTGTGTAAATTATACAGTTTTTGACCTAAAAACCTTTTATCTTTCGCGGTATATCGTTGTCTTACGAGAAAATACTTGGATGATTTAACATTTACGTTACTATAGACTCTGTTGTATAATGAAAACAAATCCAGTTGTCAGAATTAGTTCTATTTTCATTCAGTTTGGTTGCTGTAAAAACGTTATTGCTCTCAAAATAGTCTAAACTATTGAAGAACAATTACATGTGTAATTGTGTTTTTGTCTTTCAATTCTAATATAGTATATCATAGATGTTTACTTTTTTTTATAAAGCAGTATTTATTTGTTCTGCGGTTAAAAAATGATATTAATTTTATCTTTCCTCGAGTGTAGATTCTGTATGTGGTGTACTTTGGATTTTCCTTATAGTTTACCCTGCTGACATCCCTTTGACCAAATGATATGAAGATTCCTTGTCCTGATATATGGCCTCTTCTATTAATATGGCTTTTCCCATGATGGTGATATGCATCGAGTGCCTCTTGCAAAGAGACACCCCACTGTTTCGTATAAAAATTACTTCAAATACCCAACTCCTTTGTGCCGCTTGTCCTACCCATACTTCCTCACGGTATAGTTTAGGTTAGTCCATCATATACACCATCTTTATTAAAATCAGTACAGTGTCATTTTCACTAACGAATGTTAAGACTATGATTTATACAATTGACATAACCTTGTCATCCGATAAGTCATATGCTATATGTTTTCTTTAAAGGATTTAAGATGTCCCGCAGTCACAAGGACAAGTATGAAAACTCCAACCCACGTCGCACGCACACTATTATGTCCACGGAGGATGCAAACTCTGGGAAGAAATCTTATTGGCCGGAGTTGGAGATAACAGGCAGTATAAGAAATCTGAGCCCAAATTTATGGCAGTTGACACATCTGACTGCATTATATTTGAATGATAATAGTCTGCAAAGGATACCATCCGAAATAGGCCGTTTAATCAACCTACGCGCCTTAGATCTTAGCAGTAACAAGCTTCGCAGCTTGCCTGCAGAGCTGGGAGACCTCATCTATCTCAGGTACTTAATTCTATCCTAAATTAGAATTTGATTCTGTATTCAAAATATCATTGTTCAATTTTTTTTAACATATACCTTAAACTTGTTACATCAAATAATACTCTCTCTATCTATTCCAGACCTAATCCAATATTTTTTGTTACAGGGAGTTATTGTTGAATCAAAACTACCTTCGCGTACTACCATACGAGTTAGGCAAGTTGTTCCAGTTACAAGTGCTTGGACTACATGGTAATCCACTCAGCAAGGAGGTGATGACGCTGTACGGAGAGCCATCGGGAACGCACAAGCTGTTGTCTTATATGCTCGACAATTTACAAGGTAAGTGCTTTGCATTTTTCTTTGAACAAGCTTGTTTATTTACTGTGGCACAATTGGTTTTCCCTCATATATCGTCGACTGACATTATTATATCCTCTACGAGTTCTTCATTGACATAATTTTTATCGTTGAGAATATATACATAATCCAGGTGGTCGATGAGCTTGGCTCCAGATAAAAATATATATATGTGCATGCTTGGATATAACCATACGAAGGCAAGTCAAAATGCATTCGCATAACCAATTATGATATACAATTGAAACGATGGATAATCCAGCTAATCTAGATAATTCGATGTGCATTTTAAACTTGTGATGCATTTGAATCACTGTACATAATAAATAATGTTTATCATTACTCAGTTATATCATACAAATAGAATAGATTATCTTGATAATCAAAATATTCATGATACAAAATATTCTTAATGAATAAATGTAAATAGATTCAAGTTGAATTAATACAAAAAGTCTATTAGATTCTAAATTAATTGTGAGCATCGTCTTTATTAAATATAAAAGCATACAAGTATAGTAAAAATATTCTGTAATTTCTGTTTTCAAAATTCTAAGAGACTTTCTCTTGTAAAATTGAACGCGCTAAATAGCTGTTTGACATCCATAGGTTTTTCAATGTCATTCATGCGGATCTGTTACGATCATTTATCAGGGATACTTAACCGTTTGACTGCTAAGCAATTCTTGCAAGAACGCACGAAAACTGCAGGACATATTTTGACTTGATGTTGTCAAATAAAACACTCTCATTTAGACAAATATCAATCAATTTAAATAATTCTTTTCGTATTATAAAGAAACAATATTAATTGTGATTGTGAAAAAGAAAAAATAAACATTAAATTGTTTTTTTCTTTGAAAATTAAAATTTATAAAAAGATAACTTAAAGTTTATTGATCTTCTCTATCATCACTACTTGTGTCTGTTCTTTGACCATCCTCAGAATCACTAGCAATCGAATCAACGTCCGAAATAATAGCCCGTGACATGATTATTTAAAAAAAATAATATATAAAAACGGTAAAAAGTTATTTTAGAATGCACTCGTGTTACAAAGTACGCGTGAGGTCAGACTACGTTCACTCTCACGGAGCAACAAAGACACCCTGAAACTGGCAGCGCAAAAGCGCTGCGTCGCGGTTTCCGAGACAAATGAACGCAGCGCTTTTGCGCCGCGTAGCAGTCAAACGGTTAATATGTAACAATTGTTCTTTTCACTGGAAGTATAGCGTGAACAGTTCGGAATTGTTTGGACGATGATTGACGTTTCCTCGTTAATCAAATATTTTGAAAAGACTATTTAGCAGTTCATCGACGTCCAGCGAGGTTGCATAAGACTACCCGTTTTTCTTTTTACAATAGCGATTAGTCGTTTGACACATGGAGTTCCGTGAGTTCAGGCAAAGTCGACTTAGAGCTTAGAGATTGATTAAAATTTATTCGCAGCTTATATAATGTAACCCACCAAGCTCTGGAAGGAATTTGCATAATTAGTCGTCGTATACCAACCAACGTTTTTACTAATTTACGCGTATACGTTAAATATTCGCAAGATAAACGAGCCCCGGGATGATATATTTCTCAGCACTTTTGTAATCGAAATTTTAATTTCGCTGTCATCATCGTTCAACGCGGAATAAATTGTAGTTCCCGCGATGTCCTCTTCGGCACGGTCGCTCGATGTGTTATGTGTAAAAGCTGTGTAAAAAAGGGGAAAAAAAATAGTTTCACCTCCTCGCGTCACTAAAGAGTCGCGCATCACGCAGATGATAAATATATCACAGATGCACAACATCTCTGGTCACATCCTGTCACCCTTATCAATCGATATTATCGATCTGATCCCAAAGGCAATTTCCCGTCGATCCCAAAGAGATCTGCTGCGTCCAACGCGTCTCGATACGATAGTTCCTATGATTCCCGCCAGATGTCGATACCGAAGCCTCTTCGCAAGAAGGAGCAATCGAGTCCAGTAATCACGCGCTTCACCACGATCAAAACGAACTAGTCGGCTCGTCGAAATACTTTTGAAAATTTCATTAACGCGATGTCACGCAAGACGAATTAAATCGTACTTTTCCGATATCAAGAATAAATCGAATTCTCCAATGTCGTCTTTAAGAAAAAAATACATCGCGATGAAATTTTCACGAATTTCTCAGCAGATCGTAAAAAATGGATCCTTATCATCTACGATAACGAAATAGCCATTGGACGAGGAGATGGCTGTCATCAACCGGATCGCCGATCGCGAGACATGCCTTCCTGGTTATGCGAACGAACCCGCACCCACCCTCTGGACAGATCTTCGAAAGTAATAAGGTCCAAGACTAGACCTGGCACGGAGCTCATTCGTCCCATACATAATTTAAGTTCTTTTAAAATAGGGATCAAGTGGGTGTACCGCGAGGCGCAGGCGCGGGTGGTTTCGGATGGGCGATGCTGAGGTTGGGCCTGGGTACATATAGGATTATGGTAGGCCGGTGGTCGGCAAGGGAGCGAAACCAAGCAGGCAGGGAGGGCGTGTACTCGCATCCATTGTATTCCCTGATTTTTTCCAGTTATCCGATTGCCTGAAAGGTCTCGGTTGTACCATTCTGCTTATCCATTGTTCCCCGATTTTTACTATTTGGCGTAATGCCGCGCCCGTCATCCACGGAACGTTGCGCTCCGCTGCAGGCCCCGTGCGATATTCCCTCGTCATCCTTCTTCCTCTTCCTCTTCTTCTCCTTTCTCCTTCTTCCTCAGGCTCTTGGCTCTCTTTGCCTAGGAGTCCTCAGGCACCACCTCCTCCCTTCCCGGGCAGTCGCTTATCTGAAATCACCTCAGGGAGGAGCTCAGCGGGAACCGCAAGGAGAAGAGCTAGAGGTCGCCTGGAGATCCGCGTTTTCTCTGTACACGTATATACATATAGAATGTAAGCTCGCAAGCTCTATCTACCCGTGCGCATCGGACTGAGCTTGCTTTCCGATCGGATGGACTTTCCTTGAAAATCGTGCGAGGCAGTGCGGAAGGTCGAAGGTCTCCGTGGATGGAACGAGGTCGCTTCCTGAATTTTCATCCTTACGTTCCACCTTGGTGCGTGTGTACGCATTCGTCACTTCTCCCTCTGTCGACCCCTGACCCCTGACCTAATTCCACGTGATTCTCTACGCAAGGCTCTTAATTCCTTGTAAGACACGTATACTTTTATACGTATACTCTATCTATGCTTTTTTTTTTTTCCCTCACCGTTATTCTCTCTTTGCACCCTCTTGGACATTTCGTCAGGCTCGTGCTGAAGAGTGCAAGCTCGTAAATGCAGGCGGTTGGCTGCAAAGCTTCTGGTCGTTGAGTCACTTAGGATGCAAAGCGACGGCAGAGCGCGTTGGAGATGCTCCAAAAATCGTGACTCTTTGCGTCTTTGTGCTCTCGCTATGGCGTCTCTCCGGTCTGGGCTTTTCCTGGCTTGCATAAAGGAAAAATTCTCTTTTGTTACACATCCATTATGTATATGCATATATATATATGTATATTGAAACGACGAAATCGCGAAAATAAATGGCACCAACTTAAATAATTCACGTCACAATATATATTTATATATTTTATCTATATATATAGATACAAAGATAAATCTCATTTAAGCAGGACTCCTTAAGTCACCTATGCTCCATGTTTTCCTTCACACCCCTTACTCCTGTGTCAGTCCCACGACATAAATTCATCGTAAATTTCACCTAAGAGTGGTTGCATTTTGAATTTGCAAAAAAAAAAGTTATCGCCCTCATATTTCTCCTATGACGTGATCTGTATTTGTCTTTTACCTTGGCACGTGAAAATATGGGTCGTCGACCCGATCGCGTCGCGTGAATTGGGTGACGTATCCATTCAGTCAGCCTCGGCGTTCTCGCAACGTGAAAGCCAATGGCGATGATCCCGCCCGATGGCGCCACTGTGCGAGTACCCAAGGAAAGAAAAAAAAATGGCGGCGAAACGGGGAACGCACGGGTGAAAGGGTTGCACGGCCGAAAATAATGCGATCCACTTGGCGTCGCTGTTGCCCACTTCCTCACCCGTGTAATTACGGGTCTGGCCGTCTCGCTTGGCGTAATTGGGAACGACGAGGAAGGGAGAAAGTGCCGCGATAACCGGGACCGAGAGGCGCGGGTATCATTCATTATTCGCTGATATTCGGTTCGGGTTTTGCATCGCAATGAGTCTTGGCGAGGCCGGCGGCTGTGTCGTGTCTCTCGAAGGGTTCGCGCATTGTTCGCTTGTCAAAGGGTAGTTTTCCTTTTTCTTTTTTTCGTTTTTTTTTTTTTTTTTTTTCTACAAGGTCGAACAAATGAAGGGTTGTTTTTTTTTTTTTTTTTTTTTTTTTTTTTTTTTTTTTTTTTCTACAAGGTCGAACAAATGAATATATGGGGGATATTAAATTCGGATCGAAACGTATCCAGATGATAATCTGCACGCTGGTCGTAACTTTGGAAAATCGTCAACCTTTTCGATTCTTACGCTGTATCCCATATCTGTATGTCCGTCTACCTAACCTATATTTTCTGCGAATGGCACCCCTCCCTACCTTCACTTCCTGTCTTCAGCTTCTCCAACTGCTTATCAAAGGAGAAACTTCCTATTTAGCCAAGCAGATTCGACTTGACCGTACTCTCGTCCAGTAGGTTAGTTTCACGATGTTAACCCCTCTTTTCCACCCCTTCATCCTCCCACCACGTGAAACTCCCATATATGTCACTGGAATCGTATCTGTGACGTAAGGGAGTCATGTGTTTTGTAATAAGGGATGGTGAAATGTGGAGGAATTTTTTTTTTTTTTTTTATCACAAGTGGACCCCCTCTCTACCATCCCCAGTGATAGGGGGGCGATCGGTATAGAGGGAACTACGTGTCTTTGAGTATTTTTCCAAGGGATGTTTTTTTTTTCGATTCTTTTTTTTCATGCGTGACGCGTGACGCCGACAGTCGGTACCACTCGTGTC